CAAAATTCAACAGAAGGTAAAAATAAGTGATAGTGATTCGACTTCCATAGTTCTTTCTTTGGATGTGGACAGCATTTTCCATCCCGAGGCCTCTGGAGATATCTTACATCCTCGTAATGCTGAGAAGGGTTCAGTTTAACAATATTAGTCATTGCATAACATGGCTGTTATTGTGTACAAAGTCCTCTTGGTTCTGCTCACTTCACTCAGCATCAGACCATATAAGTCTTTCCAGGTTTTTCTGAAGTCAGCCTGTTCATCATTTCTTATAGCACAATAGTATTCCATTACATTCATATACCACAACTTGCTCAGCCATTCCCCAATTGATGGGCATCCTCTCAATTTCCAATTCTTTGCCACCACAAAAAGAGCTGCTATGAATATTTTTGTACATGTGGGTCCTTTTCCCATTTGTTTGATCTCTTTGGGATATAGCCCTAGAAGTGCTATTGCTGGATCAAGGGTATGCACATTTTTGTAGCCCTTTGGGCATAGTTCCAAATTGTTCTCCAAAATGGTTGGATCATTTCACAACTCCACCAACAATGTATTAGCATTCCAATTTTCCTACATCCTTTCCAACATTTATCATTTTCCCGTTTTGTCATGTTGGCCAATCTGATAGGTGTGATGTGGTACCTCAGAGTCGTTTTGATTTGCATTTCTCTAATCAATAACAATTTAGAGCATTTTTTCATATGACTATAGATGGCTTTAATTTCTTCATCTGAGAACTGCCTGTTCATATCCTTTGACCATTTCTCAATTGGGGAATGGCTTGTGTTCTTATAAATTTGTCTTAATTCTCTATATATTTTTAAAATGAGGCCTTTATCAGAGAGCCTGGTTGTAAAAATTCTTTCCCAATTTTCTACCTTCCTTCTAATCTTAGTTGCATTGGCTTTATTTGTGCAAAAACTTTTCAATTTAATGTAATCAAAATTATCCATTTTGCTTTTCATAATGTTCTCTATCTCCTGTTTGGTCATGAATTCTTCTGTTCTCCATAGATCTGATAGGTAAACTATTCCTTGTTCTCCCAGTTTACTTATGGTATCAGCCTTTATATCTAAGTCCTGAACCCATTTTGACTGGAAACCATCTTTGAATGGGACAACTCTTCTGGTGCTAAAACTTGGCAACTGTCTCTTCAGATTCTTCAGCCTCCACTTCATCAGCAGCCATGGGAATTGAAAATGGTGAAAGGAAGATCTTGCCCTCAAAATGCTTGGCTCCGTCGAAGAGCCCAACATCAGAGACAGACATGGTTTTATCAGTGGAAACCTCCTATGTATGTTGTCTTCTCCTATTAGAATGTGAGGTCCTTGGGAGCAGGGATTATCTTGCTTTTCCATTTATATCCCTAGTACTTAGCACATTTAAATGCTTAATAAGTGCTTTTTCATTCCTTCATTTATTCATCTGTAAAATGAGAGGATTGGACTGAATGACCCCTATGACTTACAATTCTTATTCTATGACCCTATGTTCCTCATCTCATATTAAAAAAAAAAGAGTCTCTTTCTCATCCTCCAGTGTTATTTAGTCTCATATATTGGCTATTAAAGACTTGCAGACTCTTGCTTAGAGGGGTATAAGACAGAAGTAGAATGTGGGGCAAGGAAGAGGAGGAGTATTGTAGCTTATATTCAAGTATGGTGAAAGGCATATCTTCCCTAGTCCCAGTGAGTTGGCAAGGATATTAACTGAGCACTGATTATATGCAGCATCTCATATTAAGAACTTTGGTAGCAGTTGACCCAAAGAATTTATTTTGTACATTAAAACTGACAAAATACTGTAAGGTAGGTAATTGCAAATAATAGGGCAAATATTATCCCCATTTTACAAATAGGGGAACAGAGTTTCAGAAAGAAGTGACTTACCCAAGGTCAAGCAGTAAACTGTAAATCCCATTCTTTTGATGTGGAAGCCAGTGGTCTTTTCATTACTCCATGCTGCCTTCTGATCATCAGCCTATGTACCTGGCTTTAAGAATCTAGATTTCTAATGGGGGAAAGGCAAAGTGTTCATGATCCTAGACCTCAGAGAAGAGTGCCTCTCTAGTGATCTTCTATGTTCAGCAAAAATGGAAGCAGAGGAAGCCAGGCTTTAGTGTCCTCCCAGTATCCCCTATCATTCCTTCCTAGAAGACCAAATACCTTGCTCACCCTGGGACTACTCAGGGTCCTCCCTACTATCATATCTAACAAAAGTTTTTCTCTTCCTGGATCTGCTCTCCTAGTTGCTGGAAGGATCTGGTAAAACTCTTTCATGATAAGGTGATAATGGTAATACTTTCCTGTTTGTAAAAGGCCTTGCAGTTTAGAAAACACTTGCTTATCATGATCTTACTTGATTCTCACCACCAACCCTGCAATGTAAAAAAGAAGAAGGAGGAGAAGGAGGAAGAGAAGGAATTGGAGGAGGAGGAGGAGGAGGAGAAGAAGAAGAAGAAGAAGAAGAAGAAGAAGAAGAAGAAGAAGAAGAAGAAGAAGAAGAGGAAGAGGAGGAGGAGGAGAATCAAAGGTGGGGAGCAGGAGAGCAGGTGGTAGGAAAGAACTATGAATATAGTTGGGGGGGAGGAAGGAAGAAGAAGGAAATGTGTAAGAATAAAGAGCTAACAGGCATTTTAGGAATCATAAGATTATGGGGTTATAGATTTGGTTCTGGAAATGCCTAGAACAGTGCCTGGCATCTGGTAGACACTTAATGAATGCTTACTGAATGACTGGCCTGACCATTTATTCCCACCCCTTCATACAAATGAGGAAAGTGAGTCTCAGAGAAGTTAAATGGCTTGCCCAAGGTTGCACACTTGTCCAAGGTCAAGTGACAGAGCTTAAACTTCCACCTGGGGTTCCTGATTGCCAATCTGTGGTTCTTTCCATTCTATCTTTTTCCTTTGTTTCTCCTCCGGACAGTGGACCTTCAACAATCCCACCGTGGACCACATGCAGAATCCCATTTGATCTTTTATATGACCTGTGAAGTCTGAAGAGTCCAGAGCTAGTCTCCACTGAATTCAGAAGAACAGAGGTTCCTCAATTGTTTAGCTGACCCTAACCCTCTAGTTTGGAGTTTTTCTCAGATCTGCAATGAAACATGTATTTGCCTCCCATCCCACTTTTCTCAGATTCCTCATGTTTCCCAAAGAGGGACCCAAACCTCAATTTAAGTGGTCTTTTGGCTTGTCATGTTGTTATAAAGATCTATTTTTCAATTTAAGCTGAATTGGGTCAGTTTTAAACGATAGCACTCTTACCTATACAGGGAACCTGCTAAAAATTGGTTCAGAGAAGATTTCTTTAAAGTCCAGTGGAAGGGATGCATCCCATATCTAGTTTGTGTATGGTGGGAACATCTTGATGTTTTTATTCAAGGTCAGCAGCTGCTCCGGCACCCACGTCTCTCCCTCTGTCCTTCTGTGGGAACCTCATCTACAAAGGGTCAGTCATTGGCAGGAAGAGAATCCAGCCAGATGTGAACACTCCAGATACAAATGTTAATTATGAAACAGAACAGCAAGTTTCTTCTTTTGCCCTCCTTTCGAACAGGAACAGGAGCCCACACACAACTGGAAGATCTCTCTGGGGTGCTATGTTCATGCACCCCACCTACTTGTCTACACTTGGCTCCTTAATTCAAATTTTACTCTTCTTTAGGCTATGAGCACCCATTGGATACTTCCGGATAATCTGCCTGGTTTTAGGGGAATGATTGTTATTTAAAGTCTTCTTTCCCCCTTCACTCCACCTTCCTTCTAGGAGCAGTTTTAGGATTAGGTATAGAGTAAGCAGTCAATTGTGATTTGAAGGACCCTTGTACAAGATCCCTGCCCCAGTGATTAACCCTACTACCTGCCATTCTCCTATTCAATTTCATTCCAGGGGGTCTTTAAGATTCCTCTATTAAAATGCAAATATCTCTGGAGTTATCAACACTTACAAGCCTATCCCTTAATTGAAAGCAAGGCCCTCTGTTTTACTAGATTGTAAATACTGAGACAGCAGAGATTTTCTCTTATTTAATCTTTCAATCTCCCTGGAAACCCCAAGTCCTGCAATCTGTACATAGTAGGCAGCTTGGTCAATGGTTGTTGAATTTCATTAAACAGAGATAGATGAGAATGGAGGTGGGAATGGCCATCAGTGGAAGTGCCTGAAGGGAGGATGGACAAGAGAACAGGATAGTAAGGTGAGGGGACCCCCAAGACAAACTTTATATTTTCCAGTTTTGCTGGTCCCATTTCTGCCTGAAGTATCTGACATTCTAGACTGATAATGACTTTAATCTGAGAACTCAGAGTCCCTTGGGGGCCCTGTACTATGCCACTGGTGACCTGAACACAGGTATTATTGCACCTGTTTTATAGATTAAGAAACTGAAGTTCATGGAGAATAAATGATTTGCAGAGGGTCACCCACAGTTGGAGGCAGGTTTCAAATCACTGTTTTTCCTTTTTCTACTACACTGAACCGCATTGATTCTAAAGTGATTTCTTGATGATGAAGGTAAAGTGAGCTAGGGATACCAGGAGAGTGTTGAAAAGAGAAAGGAGGGACTGGGAATGAATATCTCAAAAGACACTTGTGGACATCAAAACCTCCTGAACTCAGCATCAAGACCAGGGTGTAGTGCTGAATCCACCACTCACTCATTTTATTTCAGTACTCACTTCACTGATGTGGAGATTCTTCCTCTCCCTAGCATCTAAAATCTGCCCCAACCTTACCTTGTCCAATCTCTTGCCAATCCCTTCCTTTCTACAAGCCAGGCAAACTTGATTATTCACCTCTTCCCCTCTCCTAAGGACTTCTACATTCTTCTGCCTTTCCTCAAGCTGTGCCCTCTACCTGGAATGTTTGCTCTTTGAACTCTTATTTACTTCTGAAGCACCAAACACGATGTCTGGCACATAGCAGGCAAGTAATAAATAGATAAAGCATCTATCAAGCGTTTATTAAGTGCTAGGCATTGTGCTAAGTGCTGAGGATACAAATATAAGCAGGCAAAGACACCTCCTGCCCACAAGGAGCTTACATTTTAAAGTGGGAAAATAATACACTAAGAGGAGTTGGAAAGCAAGAGGGGTCCTATGCTCATGATGGCCAGGATGTGTGACAGAGGTGTGGATCCAGGCAAGAGAATGGGAAAACTGGGCTGTCAGAGCTCAGAGTAGTTCCAGAGGAGTCTGAGAGCCTGCTTGGGAAGAAGTGGAGATGATTATCAGAGTGGAGATTGGAGAGACAACCTGTCACCTTTAGTCCTTTCACTTCTGCCACCTATTACCCAATCGACCTTGGAAAAATTACTGAACTCTGAGTCTCAGTTTCCTGATTTTTAAAATGATGGAGCTGGACTTAATGACCTCTAGGGTCCCTTCCAACTCTAAAATTATGATCTCTCCTCCAGGAATCCTTCCAAAATCTTTCTGTCAAATTCCCTCTTCAGACTTCACTTTGTTTTACTCTTTTCTAATGCATTTAATATGTAACATTTTGTATTAGATTTGTTTGTGGCTGTACTTTACTGGTCCTTCTTACCCCATCTAGACTTTAGGCTCTATGAGGGCCTGGACTATGTAAATAAAAATAATAACAAATGTCAACAATTGTGGTGCAATGGAAAGTATGTTGCATTTGGAGTCAAAGGACTTAGGTTCAAATCTAACCGGTGTGACTTTGGGCAAGTCACTTACCCTTTCTGGGCCTCAGTTTCCCCATCTGTAAAATGAGGGCAATGGACTTCACTAGATGACCTCTGAAGTCTCTTTAAGCTCTAAATTTATGGTCCTATGTCACTCAAATTTTCTGTCTTCCACAGTGCCTAATACAGTGTTCTGTGCACAATAGGCAGTGAATATTTTTTAAATGAATAAATGGTTAAATGGATGAATATGTTTAATAAAATCTTGTCTCAGTGGCTTCAAAGGGTGATTCAGAGGATAACAAGATGTAATTGATGCCAAAGTACTTTGTAAAGAAAATGGCAGTTTAGCAATCAATCATCTTTGCTCTCAATCCTCTCCCCTGAGCTCAGGACCCCAATTTGGGAAACGTGACTTGGAGGGTTTGGTTAGCTATGGGGGCAAATCTGGTTTTGTAATTGCCATGAGCAGAGAATGTAGCTCTCTTCATCTGTGTGGGTTTGTGTCCCTTTGCTTTAAGGGTGCCAGTAAAAATAGAAAAAGACAGCAGCAGAAGAAAGCTCTGTACCTGAAGGATTTTCCCTTTCCTTCCCAGACAGCCATCCAGTTTGTTCTTTCCCCTCTAAGTGCTCATCTGATGCTTGGCAGAAAGCCACGTTCTGTGGGAAGAGAAGTGAATCAGTGCATTTGATTAGGGGAGACATACACTTTGGATCGGCAGGGTCCCAAAATCCACTACTTCCTCAGTATCCTGGGAGTTCATTTATTTATTTTGGGGGCCCAAATGACCTTGGCCATTACCTTAATTCCCCTCTTTCTTTCCTTCTGTTCAGCTCCTCCCTAACAGAGGACTAAAGATTCCCTTTGTCTCTGGGCATGTCACAAAATGACTTACACATGAGGAAAACAGTCATGTTTGTGCATAGTTTGCTTAGATAAGGGGGAAAAAACAAGGTTCAGAAGATGCGTGGGAGAGGCAGAGAGAGAGACAGAACTAGCTATATTTCATGGGACTGTCTACTCGACAGGACTAGCCCTCAATGTAGGCGTGTTAGGAAGTCTCCTGTGAGTTGTATTTTAAGGGACCCTGAGAGCCCTACTTTCTGAAAAGTCTCTGCCTCATCAGTCTGCCATAAATGTTCTAAAGTTTAGACAGGGGAAGAAGGGGCAAGGTTTTGGGACTGGATAAGCAGCTGATTTACCTCACCCTTCCTAGACTATAAGCTCCAGGAGACACGAAGGGAATAATATTAATAACAATAACAGCAACAACCACAATGACTCATGTTTCTGTATTTTTTATTATTTTTAAATTTTTTAAATTAACTTATTTATTTTTAGTTTTCAACATTCACTTCCATAAGATTTTGAGTTTTAAATATTCTTCCCCTCCCTCCCTACCTCCCTCCCCAAGATGGCATACAATCTGATATAGGCTCTACATATACATCCCAATTAAACATATTTTCACATTAGTCATGTAAAGAAGAATTAGAACCAATAGGAGGAACCACAAGAAAGAAGAAACAAAACAAAACAGAAGGAAAAAAGAGCAAATAGTGTGCTTTGATCTGCCTTCAAACTCCATAGTTCTTTCTCTGGATGTGGATAGCGTTTTCCATCATGAGACTTTTGGAGATGTCTTAGATCCTTGCATTGCTGAGAAGGGCTAAGTCTATCAAAGTTAGTCATCACACAACGTGGTTGTTACTGTGTGCAATGTTCTCCTGGTTCTGCTTGCTTCACTCTGCATCAGACCATACAAGTCTTTCTAGGTTTTTCTGAAGTCTGCCTGTTCATCATTTCTTACAGCACAATAGTATTCCATTACATTCATATACCACAATTTGCCCAGCCATTCCCCAGTTGATGAGCATCCCCTCAATTTCCAATTCTTTGCCACCACAGAAAGAGCTGCTAAAAAATTTTTGTACATGTGGGTCCTCTTCCCATTTGTTTGATCTCTTTGGGATACAGCCCTAGAAGTGCTATTGCTGGGTGAAAGGGTATGCACATTTTTATAGCCCCTTAGGCATAGTTCCAAATTGCTCTCCAAAATGGTTAGATCAGTTCACAACTCCACCAACAATGCATTAGTGTTCCAATTTTCCCACATCCTCTCCAACATTTATCATTTTCCTGTTTTGTCCTGTTAACCAAGGTGTGATATGGTACTTCAGAGTCATTTTGATTTGCATTTCTCTAATCAATAGTGATTTAGAGCATTTTTTCATATGACTATAGATAGCTTTAATTTCTTCATCAGAAAACTGCCTGTTCATATCCTTTGACCATTTATCAATTGGTGAATGATTTGTATTCTTATAAATTTGACCTAGTTCTCTACATAGTTTAGAAATGAAGCCCTTATTAGAGACACTGGTTGTAAAAATTCCTTCCCAATTTTCTGCTTCCCTCCTAATCTTGGTTGCATTGGCTTTGTTTGTGCAAAACCTTTTCAATTTAATGTAATCAAAATTATCCATTTAACTCATGTTTATATAGGGCAGAGGTTTATAATTTTTTTGGGTGCCATGAATCCTTTTGGCAGTCCAGTGAAGCCTATAGACACCTTCTCAGAATGTTTTTAAATGTATAAAATAAAATATACAGGATGATGAAGGAAATCAATTATTCCAAAATACAATTATTAAAATGAAAAAACAGAACAGGTTTATGGACCCCAGATTAAGAACCTCTGAATAGGGCTTAAATTATTAAGAATTAAGGCTTTAAAAGTATTTTGCATACTTTATCTCATTTGCTTTTTACAATCAACCTGGTAGGGAGGAGCTATTATCTCCATTTTACAGATGAGACAGTAAAGAGAAGTTAAATGACAGCTAGTATCTCTCCAACACCTTGCTGCAGGAACCAGAGGTCACGTCTTGAGGTACTTAACATTTCCTTTGGGACAGCTAGGTGTGGCAGTGGATGGAGCACTGGCCCTGGGTTCAGGAGGACCTGAGTTCAAATCCAGCCTCAGACACATAGCACTTACTAGCTGTGTGACCTTAGGCAAGTCACTTAACCCCATAGCCTACCAAAAAAAAAAATCCCCCTCTCCCCTATCCTGGGGACCTGCTGTTCTGTTATTGTTCAGTTCTTTTAGTCATATCTGACTGTGACCCCATTTGGGGTTTTCTTGGCAAAGATACTGGAGTGGTTTGCCATTTTCTTTTCCAGCTCATTTCACAGAGGAAGAAACTGAGGTAAAGAGGGTGATGTGACTTGCCCAGGACCACATAGCTAGGGAGTATCTGAGGCCAGATTTGAACTCAGGTCTTCCTGACTCCAGGCCTGGCACTCTATCTGGTGAGTACCTTATGTGGCCCACTCTATCTGGGCTGGCTCCAGACATTCATCACTTTATTCTTCAGTCTTCTTAGCCACCTTGTTTATGCTTTCAATCTCACCAAACAACCCTTTCCCACTCCACTAGTTCTGGAAACATAATCAAATCACCTGCTATTTCTATCTATTGTCCCATGGTTCCATTCACCGTACCTGTAACTTTCCAAACCAAAATACTCCTCCTAGGCTATCACTCTCTTAAAAGTGTTATTTCCCCTATTAGAATGTAAGTTTCTTGAAGGAAGGGATTGTCTTTGATTTTGTGTTTAAATCCCTAGGGCATAGCTCAGTGCTTGGCAGGTAGTAAGTACTTAACACATGTGTGTGTGTTTTTCACTTACTCATTAGGTCTGAGGCAGGATTCTAACCCAGATCTTTTTGTCTCTAAGTCCAGAACTCTAACTACAATTCTATGAAATGTCTCAAAACATTTAAATTACCTACCTTCCTCCAGGCTAGCACAGTGCTCTCTACAGTAGGCGGTTAATATATGTTTATTGAGTTAAGCTATATTTTTGCCTTTCCAGGGCATGCCTTTCCCCCACCCTGCACCCTACAGCTCCAGCAGTTCCAGAGCATCAATCAGTGTCGATCTTTCATCCTAGACTTTTTTCGTATGTAGAATCAGTGGAGGGAATAAGTATCAGCCACTAGTACTTCTTGCATTGGTTTATCGGGTGGTCAATCAGCATCAAACCACAGTGGAATGTGACTTGGGCAAAGGTTTCCAGGTTTATTGGGTCCCTGAAATTCGATATTGGCATGAAATGAAACATAGGCAAACAAGTCTGGTCACTAACAAAAGATTTACTTAATCATTTTTAGGGAAAGATTGTTAACAAAGATATTCATCAAGGCTAATGATTCAGCCCTTTCAGCTAAGTCAATTCAGCTCAGTTCAGCTCCCCTGACTCTCTGCATTGTAGGTGGTGGTCAAGCATTAGAGGGCCTGTTGTCATTTTGTACACAAATGACCAAGAAGCTATATCGATAGTCAGGGCCTTAGTCTCCTGAGTCAATTAAATCTCCAGGAGAATTTCAATACCTTTTAAGGAAAAAACTAACTTAACTTACATGGGGCAGGATCTAAAGATATTGATCTCATTAGACTATGTGTCCCACTATTTCTGTGGCCCCTTTAACTCAACATTACTGCACATGGTCCCGTTAGGAAGTTCCATTTATAAATGCAGATATATTATCTAAGTACTAGCTATTAACATTAATAGAGCTAGGTGATGCAGGAGATAGAGTGCCTGACCTGGAGCCAGGAAGACTCATCTTTCTGAGTTCGAGTCTGCCTTCAGATACTTACTAGCTGTGTGACCCTCAGCAAGTCAATTAACCTTGGTTGCCTCAGTTTCCACATCTATAAAATGAGTTGGAGAAGAAAATGGCAAACCACTCCAGCATCCTTGCCACGAAAACCCCAAATGTCATCATGAAGGGTCAGACTAAGACTGAAATGATCAAACAATAACAACAAAGAGTTATTTATCAGATTAGCCAAAGCATAGAAGGGACCTCAGGAGATAAGACACCTCTACAAGTAAGGTTTGATGAGGAAAGGGAGGAAGGTGAAGCAAACATCTGGAAGGAGAAGGCCTAGCTAGTAAGGGATCAACATGAGGGCTCTGAGAACCTGGGAGAAAGAGGAGGCAGGGGGACTGCTTGAATTTTAATCAGCAATCAATATTCACCGAGGACTTCCTATGTGCTAGACACTCTTCCAAATATGGAGGATATAAATAAGGTATATATTATACATAGACATGTGTGTATGTATGTATTATATACACACACACATATATATGCTTATACATACATGTACACATGCATGCGTGTATATATCACATAAGCAAAGAAAACAAAGGTACAAAGCAGTGAAGGACAAATGCCTAATAAGTGATGCTGACAATGATGACCAGAAGAACTCGGAGATGGTTGAGATCACTGTGGGCTGCTATGGTTAGGGAAGGCTTCATGAAAGAGGCAGGACTGAAGAAGCATCTTGAAGGGTTTACATAGGAGAAAGGGTGGGCATTCCAGGAATGAAGAGAAGTATGAGCATAGACACAGAGACAGGAAATCAGGAAGCACATTTGACAGATCGTGAGTAGACAACCTCGGCATTTCCACTTGTGGGGGCATAGGGTTAGAATTAGAAGTAGGGGGGAAAGTAGGGAGGAGAAAGGGTAGCTTGACCTAGGGCATCATCATTGTCATTGTCATCATCATCAGAAACATTAAAACTCACATCTGTATAGCCTTTTAAAGTCTGCCAAGTACTCTATATGCATTATCT